GTTCAAGCGCGTCGGCGTTCCGTTGCCCAACAACTTCCACGATGCTTTCCAGCGTTTGGACAAGGACAAAGTTGTCGCGATGAGTGACAGCGATGCTGCAGTGCGCTACTACTTTCAGAACATATAGTAGTGAGTACTTAGTAGTCTTCATGATTCTACATTGAACCAACCGACTAACCAAGTTTCCATTGAACCTTGTTATATTTTTGCGGTTTGGCTCAGTTCGGTTTAAGAAAAAAAATGGTTCCGGTTCGGTCCTCGTTTGTGCAAAAATTGAACCAGTCGACCAAGTTCAAACCCTGCCGATGCCTAATGGCGATGGTCAAGATCCTCGGCTACGGGTCGCTCCTTTCCGAGACGTCGGCGCGGTCGACCTTTGGCGCGACGATGCAGCGTTTCCGCCTTGTCCGTGTGCATGGCTACCGCCGCGTCTTTGCGCTGCCAGGCTCGATCTTCTTCCCCGAGCAGATTGCCAACCCCGCGACAAAGGTGGACGACGATACATGCTGGTAAGCAACGTCGTCACGCGGCGCTAGGAGTTTGCCTGCCTCTGCGTCGAGCCAAGTCCGGGTAGCAGCTTCATCGTGAGCGTCTTTGAAGTACCAGAGGACCAAGTACCTGCGTTTCGCCGCCGCGAGCACCTCTACGACATTCAGCCCGTCGAGTACGAAGAGGCGGACGGCTCGCGAGACAAGGCGCTCATGTGTCTTCGTTGGACCGACGAGGCGGTGATCCAAGCCAAGTACTATGTTTATGTGCGTCTCTCGGTCGAAAGGCTGATCTTGGTTTAGCGGCCAAGCTTTCTTTGACGAGCGCTACCGGCAGTATGGTCTGGACACGATCTGGGGCTGGGGCCCCGAGAGCGGTATTCTTCCGTCCCGGGTACAACACCTGTCGCGTACTAGGCTAAGAAATGAGTGCAACGGCGTAGGTCTACCTGCGCCACTGCCTCCTCTCGGTGGCCAAGCTCGGTGAGGTACACGAGCCTCCTAGGATGCGTCGTGGCTGATGGAGCGAGTAGCAAGTCCGCACGGACTTTTTGAAGCATTCGTTTCTTGGTGACCGCAAGACGACGGTTGAAGCCTACATCGCCGCCCACCCCGAGATCATGGACGCGCTGCCTCCTCCGTCGCTTGTCAGTCGCTACAGTGGATAGGATAGGTCAGCACGCATAAGAGCGATGCGCTCCATAAGGTTCTTTCGATGTAGTATGCAGAACCTCAAAAAGGGATGCAACGAATTTCTAGTCGTTTTAGGAGAATACCATAGTTTAATTCAGTATTTGCTTACTGAAGCGTGAGCTCTGTCACGGACGCGTCGAGGGCCGCACCTCGGAGCGCGACGGCAGGGTATACGCATGCGTCGGGGACGTTGCGAAGAGACACGCCGGTCGCGCGGCCGTTGACGAAATAGTGCAAGGTGCGCGTCTCGGCGTCGAGCTGGACGCGGACGACGAGCTCGTCGTAGGCTTGCCACTCGACCGTGTACGCGGCGTCGGACGCAAAATCGACCAACTGCTCAGATGACCGAAGCACGGCGCCGGTGCGAATGTCGAATTGGACACCGGTCACATCGCTCTGGTGTGCGCACGGCTCGGCGCTGAGCCCGAGCACGAGGTAGCGGCAGCCAAGCGACTGGAATGCGACGATGAAGTCGGTCGCCGGTGTGGCACTGCGGAAGGCTTGCCACAGCTTGGTGGCGGCCACTGTCAGGTGGGTTGTCGCGCACGTCGGTTGCCACTGCGGCGCCGCCTTGGTGGGCATGGCAGTGCTGAGGTCGACGACCTTGCACATGTTGGTCGGCGACACCGGGAAGTAGGGCATGCTTTTGAGGAAAGAAGGAGATCGGAAAGTGCAAAGTGGGATAGGCGAGTTATCGTACAAAACCAAGTACGTCCACCATATCGCATCACCAACTTCGATTTTAGATGGACGCTACGGCGAATTCCGCGACCGGTCGTTGCCCTTGTACCCTTGGTGTCCCGCCAACTTCAACTTCAAGGAACGTTTCGCGCGCCTTTGACATCGAGATTCCAACTTCAAGGAGCGAGGGACGACGGGGTGCGTCGTGCTTTGCAGTACGCAGACACTCGCTTGTATGATACGTGATATCAAGAGCATACATATCCCTTGGTGCGATCCATCGAACGTCTGTCAACCGTGCCATCGCAATCCTTCCTACACGCGGATTGGAGCAAGAATAAAAAGGTAAATTAAGCAAGTTTAGAGTAGCCGGACGATCGTGGTTGCGTCTGGCTGCAAGGCGCCTCGGAGCGCCATGGCAGGGTACGCACACGACTCGGGCACGTCCCGAAGCACAATGCCCATGGATGCGCCGTTCATAAAGAAGCCGAGTTCACGCGAAGACACGTCATGTTTCACAGTGACGATGTGCGCGTCAGAGGCACCCCACTCGTACGTGTACGCCGCGTCCGTCTCGTAGTGGACGGTGCGCTCCGAGGACCAGAGCACAGCGCCTGTCCGCACGTCAAAGTCGATGCCGACGACATCGGCGAGGCGCGAGCAACGCTGGCCCGAGACCCCGAGGACGATGTGGCGGCAGCCAATGGCTTCGAATTGCATCGAGTAGGTCAGCGTCGGCGATGCGCCTCGGCACGTTTGCCAGTGGTGCGACGCAATGATCTCGGCCTTGTGGTGGTCCAGCGTCAACGACGACGGTGCCAGCCACGCGGTCTGCGCCGGGACGTGCACTTCGGAGGCGAGAAGAAGGGGACCTGGCATGTAGGTTGACGGGGCAAAAGCAAAAGTGCTGCTTCGAATCTGGCTGTTCGTGGTGCATGATACTCGTAGATATGGAGGCATGAAAAGCGCAGGCTGGATCTCTGTGAGAAAATCCCTCAGTTTGCGGCTGTACGGTCGGAACACACGGCAAGATGCAAGCTTTGCAGCCGTTGGCTGGAGAAATAAAGGATTGCTCCGACGTGGCGCCAATCAATGTCGCAAGCCATCAGTCGTCATGCGCCACTACACAGCTTAATGACGAACGAGCTGGCTTGGCATGACCCTTCTGCTTGTGTCTCCAGACCGAGTACGACGTTTTCTAATACAGTGCAGTAGCGCGTTCGCCACGGCTGCGGTACTACCGAGGACGGACCCTTCGTTTGATATGGTGGCTCGTGCGGAGACGGCGTACCGGTACACTTGTCCACGACCACCTGCATACAGGAGCTTCAAGCAGCTGGTGGACCAGAAGCATGCACCAGAGGCAAGCCGGCGCCGTGTCGATCGATGGTGGACGTCTGCCCTTCAAGGGTCAATAATACTGCATTACGATTCACCCTTGGTCCTTTTTCGATAGATAAATCCTTGCACGAGTACGCTTGGTACTGGTACCAACAAGAAGCGAGGACGGGCAAGAGATTGCACACCGTGGCGGGGGCGAGAAGGGGAGCCGGCGTTGCAGGAAGGGAATATCCCAATCAAGCAACGGCCTCACAATTGCATCGTTTTTATATGTGTACACTATACCCTGGTATCGACTTTATAATACCACGTTCGCGCACAGAAACAACAGGTGATTTAAAATAAAACGCCAAAATCGAAATGCATTTTCATGCCCGACCTCTTAGATCTTGGCAAAGCAGAGCGACGAGTTGGTGCCGCCAAAGCCAAACGAGTTGGAGAGGACTGCGTTGACCGAGCGGGCTTTGGCCTCGAGAGGCACATAGTCCAAGTCGAATTCGTCGGTTTTCTCGTGCAAATTGAGCGTCGGCGGAAGCACACTCTACACAAACACATGCGTTTCCTCTTCCGTCGATGGGATCCACAACCTCGTGCATGGCCTTGATGGCAAAGATGGCTTCGATGGCGCCTGCCGCACCCAGCAAGTGCCCCACGGCACCCTACGCATCCTCCTCGTATGTACGCTCTGCCTGGATGCAGCCACGCACCTTGGTCGACGAGACGCCGAGGTTGTATGCGTGCGACCCTAACGACACATGAGGTTACTGCGCTGCTTGTCGCTCCGCAGAGTCGTACCAAAGAGGCGCTTGATCGCTCGGTTTTCGGCCGCGTCACCCAGAGGCGTCGATGTGGCGTGCGCATTGATGTAGCCAATGTCTGAGAGCGCAAGACCCGACTGGGTCACCGCCGACTGCATCGCGCTAGCATTCCTGTCCCAAAAGTGCTCGGAACATGCGTTGGGCCTACCGGAAGGCGCCGTCCCCGTTCTCCGTGGGGGCCGTGAGGTGATGCGCGTCGCCACTTAGACCGTAGCCGCGGATCTCGCCGTAGATGCGCGCTCCGCGTGCCTTGGCGTGCTCGTACTCCTGTCCTCGCAGTAAAATGTCAATCCATAAGACGTGACGACTACCTCGAGGAAGCAAACACCAGCGCCTTCGCCCATGACAAAGCCGTCGCGCTGGGCGTCAAAGGGCCGCGAGGCCGCCTCAGGGTTGTCGTTAAACTAAAGATATCCCACCATCAGCACAATATGAACCGCCAGGAAACAAGAACCTTTGTCGCCAGCGCCTTGGCGCGGAGGAAGCCGCACACAGAGAGCGGGTTTAAGCTCGCCTCGGAGCCGCCAGCGACCATAACATCCGCGTCTAATTCGCATCCCGCGTTCGTTTACCCACGCCGAGAACACGGACACTGTACCGCCGTTGCGAATGAAGCGGTAGGCGTCGCCAATGCTGTGGCTGCCCGTGGCGCAGGCCGTCGTGCACGCGTGGTTGGGGCCCTATATACATTGCTTGCACTTAAGTGTACAGCAGACAGATGGTACCTTGAGGCCGTGCATCATGCTCACGTGTCCCGCGGCCAAGTTGATCAAGATACGCGGCACAAAGAAAGGCGAGACCCGGCGGTACTTCTACGAGTATAAATGGTCATAACGGGCTCATACACGTGCGGATGTGTGAGTACCTGCTGCTGGACGAGCGCCGCCGTCTCGACGATCTCCTGGAGGTTGCCAATGCCAGCGCCGATCGCCACACCCGCGCGCTCCTTGGCGGCGTCCGACGCCGGCGTCCACTGCGCATCCTTGATGGCTTCGTTGGCAGCGGCGATGGCAAACGAAATGAACCGCACATCTTGGCTGCGCGCCTCGCGACGGTTGATGTGCTCGAGCGGGTCGAAGTCCGGGACCTGGCCGCCCACCGTGCAGTCGAGGCCCGTCGTGTCGAACGACGTCAAGGTTGAGATGCCGCAGTCGCCGTTGATGAGGCGGTTCCACGTGGCCTCGAGGCCAACGCCCAAGGGCGTGACCGCGCCCAGGCCAGTGATGACAACACGTCGGCTCAGCGCCGCAGGGGGAGGTGGAAACATCGTTCGGCGTCCAAAATGACCAGCCAACCAGGTCGCGTCTAGTTGGTTATCGACTAGATAGGTTTGACGTATGACGTTTTAGTCTCTTATCCGGATAATGGCAATTCTCAACACGACATGCATAGGGTTTTTCGCTCAACCGACTACCCTTTCGATTAGTCGCCGGATAATGGAGCATATCCACCAACGCTCTCGAACAACCAGCATTCCTACGAGCCACGCTGTAGCCGAACGTTCCCGTGCACTTCCGACCGGCCCTCGTGGCATCCTCCTCGCGATGGCACGAGGCAGCCTCATTTCCACTTGCGCTTCCTAGCACCAAGATGCATCTCTCGCACTACGCTTCGAGCCATCTTCGCACGCCATGGAAGGCGCTCGTACAAGTCCGCCGCAGTAGCTCGACACGGCAAGCCGCGCTGGCCCTCGACCGCGTCCTCGCCGACGCCGACGTGCTCGTGCTCGAGCCCTGCGACACGGGCTTTGACCTCTACTTTGCCGACCAAGCGCGTGCCCGTACGCTCGTGACGAAGCTCCTCGCGAGCTTTCCGTGCCGGACGACCACGTCCCGGACGGTCGGTAGCTCGGCCGTGCAGCACACGCACCTCGTCGAGGTGTGTCCACTGCAGCGGTATGACCTCGTTATTGCCTCCAAAGCGCTCGCACTCAAGCTCAACTTGCCGCGCGTCGTCGTCGTCGCCCGCGTGAGCCACCAGCTCCATCTCGTCGACCCGACGACCGGCGACGAGGGTATCGTGACAGCCAACATGTACTTCCGCGACCCGCCGATCTGCGTGTCCATGGCGCGCGACGCGTACATCGTCTTGGACGCCGAGCCGATTGATGTCGACTATACAGGTCAACAGTGGGGACCGTACAACGGCGCAGTCGTCGAGCTCGAAGTCGCGAGCGCAAACGACTTGGGCGTCAACGACACGCGACACCACGTCGTGAGCCATCTCGGCAAGCACGTGAACGTCGGCGACAAGGTCTACGGCTACGACCTGCGTACAAGGATCTTTGGACTCAAGTACCGCGGTCTCGACAAGGCGGTCGTGCCCGACATCGTTCTCGTGGGTACAGCCTTTTGCTAAGAACGCGAACCTCCACCATAATCTATCTGCCGCTTCGACTTGAAACATTGATACTATCGAGGCCCTAAGTACCTCATTACACCATTTCACGACTTCATGCTGCCACGTATATTGTCGAGCCACAAGACAAATGGATGCGTTGGCGTAAACCTAGCGCCATGCGCTTCTAGTATCTAAAAAGGAGTCTCTACATCGCGTCGGCGAGCTGCCGGTACGAGCCTTGCACTTGGATCGACGTCGGTGCATCAAACGACCGCTTGCCCATGGTCCGACACTCGGCGAGCAAGGCCGCCAAGTCGGTCTCCGAGACGCTCGGCGCTGCAATCGCGACGCGTGCGAGGCCAGCTTGGATGACCATGAACGGGTAGAGCTGGGCGAACATCGCGCACGGCGCCTTGAACGTAACTGTGAGCGCCAAGGGCGGGCGCGTGACGTCCAAGCCAACACCCATGTCGGCTTCGAGGGTTCTCAGCGCCGACTCGAACCAAACAGCGAGCTCGAGGCTGGCTTGCAGCAGCTTGAGCTCGTGCTGCATGTCGGCTTCTCGGTGGTGGGCCGACGCAATGACATCGTACGGCGCCCGGCGCGCGCGCGTGTAGTAGTAGACGAGGAAGCAGAGCGACGCGCCAAAGATGGTTTCGATCGCCAGCGGCCACGCGGCGGCGTAGGCGTCGATGAGAAACATGTAGGCCGCCGACGTCGCGACGCCGAAAAAGTACATGACGGTAAAGACCATCGAGACATCGCCGGCCGACTTGGTCTTGACGATCGAGTAGATCTGCGGCACCGTGCAGATCGAGAGGATCACGCCGCCGCTGAAGCCGAGCGCGTTGACCCACGTGGCTGCCGACGCCGCTTCCGGCATCTTGTCCACGCAAAAAGTGACCGCTGCGACACGCGCCGGTTGGAGATGACGCCGACCGACGTCCGTGGCGTCAACCGTTCGGTTCGGCTGAAACCACGCAACTTGAAGCTGGGATGGACAGGATGGACGACGACCCTGGCCTTGGTGGCTCTTGCGGCGAGCACACGAATCAGCGCTATGAGTCAATGAGTATATGGCGGGCTGTTAAGAGATTGAATAAACCTCGTGAAGCTGGCGAGGACAGGGTGGACAACGACCCTGGCCTTGGTGGCGCTTGCGGCGAGCACACGAATCAGTGCTGTGAGTCAATGAGGATATGGCGGGGTGTTAAGAGATTGAACAAACCTCCTCGTGTACTCGTGTATGCAAGACTTGCTCAGTGGGTCGGCTGGACACTCGCCTACGCGTCCAGCCAATCATACAGTGGTATTTCATGAAGCAGCTCGATGATTGGTGCAATGACCAGATTCGACTGTGTGGGCTTTGATATCCGAGTGTACCGGTACAGTACGCGCACAACCGATCCAAAGCGTGAGGCTAATCCCTCCCTCGGTGCGAGAGGCGTGACCAGAACGCCGTCAACGAGGTTCTACCAGGTGCAAGCAGGATACGGGAGCTCCGATTCGACCCAGCCTAACGTCAAACAACACTACACTCGTCCAAACGTTGTTTTGATTCACTCTCTGTTTACTGTCCTATCCTATCCTACTTCAACTACAAGATTGCGTAGTCGTCTCGAATCCAAGGGTCGTCCGTGTCGATGTACGCTGGAGGCTGCGCTTTGTAGTTCGGATCCAAGTACGTGCAGGGCGCTACCTCCTCATGGACCACGTCTTCGTCGTCGTCTTCATCATATGCCATGCGGTCTTGCTCCAGGCTGATCAAGAGCTGGACGTTGTACTCGAGTCTCGCCACTTGCTTGTCCTTGGCATCGTCCTTGGTGGCCATCGCGTGTATCTGGAGGTCCTTCGATTCGCAGTCGGCGTGACTCATGCCGAGCTGCTCGTTGAGGCTCATCTTCTGAGAGACCAAGGTGCGGTTCGTGGCGATGGAGGCGTCGTACAATGCTCGGAGCTGGTCGAGGGCGACGGTGGTCTTAGCGGCGTGCTGTTCAATGGCAGTACACTGCGCTTGCAGCTGCTGTACTTGGTCGTTCTTGGATACGTCCGAGGCAGCCGTAGCGCTCTCGAGCTGCTTCTCGAGGATCTTGGCGGTCGTCACGAGCTCGGCGATCTGCTCGTCTTTGGCAGCCACGAGAATGTTGTGGTCCAGTTGCAGCGTCCG